AGGGCTCAACTAATCCAAGGCCACTTTCTCATGAAATCTGCATTTTGTAGAAGAGGAGAGACAAAAATTAGAGGAAAAAAAAATAAGTACTTAGAAGAAGACGAGGTAGCTAGAGACTGATGGGGGTGCTTTTTTAGATAGGCAGTAAGGTTAGAGTATCTCTGAAAGGTTGGCATTGAGCAGACATCTGGAGGAAGGCAGGGAGCCAGATCAGGAAGCCTCTGAGGAGACAGGCAAGCCAGGTCAAGGGAACTGCAAGTGCAGTGGTGCAGAGAAACGAACTGTGCTTGGAGCATTTGAGGAACAGCAAGGAAACCTGTGTAGCTGCAGGGCAGTAAGCAACAGGGAGTATGAAACAGGGTAGGGGGAAGTGGCTGGAGCCAGATCACATAGGGCCTCTGAAAAGTGTTGGATTGTTGTGGAAGTGTGACGGGAAGCTGTTGGCGGTGGCATGATTGGATTCATGTTTCTGAAAGACTCCTCTGGTTGGTGTAAACGTAGAGAGAGCAAGTGTGGCCTCAGGGGAGAGCAGTTAGGAAGCTACTGCAGTGGTCTGAATGAGGGATGAGGGTGGCTTGGGTCAGGGCAGAAACAGTGGAGCAGGCTCATTTTTCACATTTTTCAGGTGGTTTCACTAAGACACAGACAGATTAGGTGGTTGCTTAGGACTGTGTGGTCAGTGCAAAGTTGGACACATGGATCATGATTTCTAAGCTCCTAGATTCCTGCTTCATCTGCCTTGTGAATCATGGGACTTTCTGGTATCTTCAGAGCTGTTTGCAGGTCCTCTCAGTAGACAGTTAGCAACTCTATGTGTACATATAAATACACATGCACACTTCAATCTATATTTGTATGTCTATATATTGAAAACCATGAGTTCACACCAGTACCTACAATGTCAATCCAACACTAGAGGATTCATTCTAGACTTCCCCTTTCCATGTTTATAACTCCCTTCTCTAACAGCGAGAACCCTGGTCCTTGTCCTCAATACATTTGCTTATCATATCAATCAAGAGCACTTAAGTATGCAAGATAGGGGACAGACAATGTCAATCGCCTCGCAGAAAGTGTCAGAGCCCAAGCTGGATGAGGCGGGCATCTTTGTAAAGCCTGTTGGGCATCAGAGGCCAAGTGATGGCAGCGGACCTCTTGATTTTACTCTGGCTCTGACAACCTGCACCAGGCTACCATTGTTCCCTGCACAGATGCCTTTTTTACCCTGCTCATGCTCCTTACTCTCCACCTTTGTGTAGCTGTATACTCTGCTCAGCTCTACCTGATAGCTTTTAGGCTGAATGATTCTGAAAGCAATACAGAAAGGTGGCCCCTTGTTTTTGTTTTTTGTTTTTTGTTTTGTTTTGTTTTTTCACACTCCCCTGATGATTCCAAAATGCATCCAGCTTGGGAACCAACCTTCTAGTTTAGAGACCCTCCAGCTCTGCTAGTCTTCCCCTGCCTCCCTATAGAAGGAAGCCCAGAGCGGTTTTGGATGAGTGGTACCTGGTCCTACAAAAAACTCTGCCCAGGTGACAGACTATAGAAATGTGGCCATAAGAAGTAAGTTTAAAAGTCAGAGACTTTGTCTCTTTAGTGTAAGATAAATAGGTTATGAAACAGTCTGAAAGAAAACAAAAAGATTTGTGTTTGGTGAGTAATTAATAGATACCCAGTGGAAATTAGATGAATAACAATGAATAATTAATAGATCAGAATATTGACAAGAATAAAGGACAGAAAGAAAAGGAAACTAGAACGAGGAACAGGTTTGGAAATGTCCATCGGCAAAATAAGCTTTCAAAACAGTGTCAGGCTTGGAAACGTAATTTAACAAGTGACAGAGACCCACCTCGTATTATCACCTACCTATAAAGAACTTCTGACCATAGCCAACAAATTCCTCCTTGTCTACAGAGAACAGCAGGAGCAGAATATGTGAGAGTAAGAAGTTTATTTAGAACAAATTCACGAAATTATGTTCAACTTTTCAAGTGACTACCTTAGTAGATGGCAGCAGAGTTGAATTTATCCTTGAGTGGCTCATTGAATGTTCTAAGCATTTTTCATCCTGTTATTCACACACAACAAACTACAGAGATGCAGTTCACAGAATTTGAGCATTATACCGAATGTATTCTATCTAGTATGGTTAAAGCCAAAACCAGTTTATTAATTTTTTAAGATAAGTTTC